TCGTATTTTTAATTTATATTTTTTAATTTTAATTTTTCCTAATTATGGAGTTTATGTTTAGTGAAAAGGGAACTAAGTTGTTGATTATTGACAATTACAAGTTTGGATTCCAAAAGAACCTAGCAGATAACATACAGAGGTGGATATGTACAAAACGAAAATGTAAAGCATACATTAAATTGAACGGAGATTGTTTATGTGAAGAAGTATTAACACATAACCACGAAAGTGAAGACGATGGTAAACTTGTGCGACAAAAATTGACAAATTCACTAAAAAGAAAATGTGACAAACTTATTACAGAGCGACCATCTAAAATTAAACGTAAGGAAATAGCTTCAAATATTCATAGTGAGTCACTACTTCAAAATGATATTAACAGAGTCCATAAATATTTGAATGCTGCTAAATTAAGAACAATTCCTAAGTTACCTTCTAATCTTGAAGAACTGCATAAAAGTGTCAGTGAATATTTTATTATTTGTATTTTATACCTACACCTAGTGATGACTATAGTTGACTTCCAAATCAACGATTTAAAATTGTATATATTATATCATTTTTTTTTTTATAACACACATTAACGCACATTTTTAACCAAGCCTTCTTTTAAGTTGACAGTCCTAAGCCTGTAAAATTGAGAAGGAAAATGTGCGTAAATAAACGGGAACCAATTCGGCTCAACTTAATAAAATATCTTTTTCAAACGGGAACCAATTCGGCATGTGGGGTTAGAGCTCGGGAACCAATTCGGTACCAGCCGTTGCCGCACGATAGCACCGGACCTCACATCAAATTCAATCAGCGCCACTCTTAAACAATTGGACTTCGAGGTAGTTCAACACTCACCTTATTTTCAGATTTGGCACCTTGTGACTTCCACTTCTTCCTAGACCTTAAGAGAGACATCAAAGGTACCCATTTCATGTCGGACGAAGATGTCAAGGAAGCAGTGAAGTCTTAGATAAAAGAGAGACCTTCTTCATATTTCAGTGACGGTATGAAGAAACTTGTGGTTCGTTAAGAGAAATGTATATCTGTAAATGGTAATTATATTGAAAAATAAAAATATTAACTTATAGCTAAAGAAGAATACTATCATATTTTTTTCAAATTAAAATTATTTTTCTTCGTTTTCGAAAAATTCACGATTGTGCACAACTTAACATTTGCTCCTCGTATATTATTTATAAACACCACAAACTAAATGGTTTTAAAAGATAAAAGGAACTGATTTCTCATTTAAAGAATACTCCTGATATTTATCTCTTGAATTTCAAACAGCATGTCAAAAATGATTACTTCTCGAATTGGAAATTGGCGAAAAAATAGAATTGTTTAAAGTTCTTTACGATCTTTTAGTTATAATGGTTTCGTCGATGTTTCCTTCATTAACAGATCCTTTGGACATTTTTGAATTGAAATACATCGATTTTAATCTTAGCCAACTGTGTAATGTAAATTTTCTTGCAATTTTATCAGCAATCAATACTTCACAAGAAAGAAGATTTTCAATAATACAGGATTTACTATCTGCAATCCCAACATATTTTCAACGATTCATTTCGCACGAAACAATTTGTAGTTAAAAGTTTTTTCTCCTTTTATTAATTGTTTTCAAGAATAGGATTTAAGTAATTACGTTTTTAATGAAAAAGCATCATTTCCTACAATAAATCCTCCATTAGGCAGTAAGTAGTAGCAGTAGTTTTCCAATTTAGAAAATATTTTACAATTTTGAAACACCCTACAATCCGGTACTCTTCCATTACAACCAATATATATTTACCTAAAAGAATAATTGTCATCTACAATCATCATTAATACGGCACTATTTACTCCTTTATAATTTAAATAAAAACTTCCACAATAACAAACTGGACGAATATTTTTATATTTCCCATCAATAGCACCATATAGCACTATATTATACTTAAGAATATTTTTCCTAATTATTTTTACTTAATTTTTGTTAATATTTTTCTGTTACTTCATTAAAATAATAGATACCAATAATTTTAATATTACCAATAAAATTAAATTATGAACAAATTTTAAAGCAATAAAACTGTATAAATCTTCCAAAAAAGCTTAAAAAAAAGCATTAAAAATGGGTTTTTAAAAAAAAAATTAATAATTTTCGACATTTTTAAATTACTATTCGATGCACAACGAACACTAAACTGTAATTCTGAGTAGAGAATTCCAGAGGAGCAAGAGTATATTTTTGTGTTTATTTGTTTTTCAAGATAAATTAAACTACTATGCACCATACAGTACATAATAAACTGAACACACGAAGAAAAGATGTCAAGAAATGATTGAAAAAGATTTGGTACACATTTTATAATATAAAAATAAATATTAACATTTCAAATACATTTATTTAGAACATATTTTGAAAAATGTAAATTAAAAGCAAAAAAAAAATTAGCCAAAAAAGTTTTAATATACAAAAAACGCAAAAAAAAAAATAAAATGTCGTGCATTTTATTCTAAGTAGTATAAATTGAACTTTTAGCTGACAGCATCGTTTTAGAGCAATAGAAAAAAATCAAATGCCTTCAAAATCTGTATTCTACTCATCATAATTTCAATCACGCGTGATATACCTAGTCGAAACTTACTGTAATAAGCTGTTCAACATTTTTTTTTTTTTAAATTGTGTCTATTATAGATATTCTTTATTTTCAGATCTTAAATTATTGAAAATATTTTATTTTTATAATCTACGTGTCAAACAGTAATATTAAGATGAATCAGAATCTTATAAGCCATTTTAAATTATACGTCGACCCAGTGCCGGATTAAGTCCTTTGTGGGCCTTAAGTATAATATAAGTCAGACGGGCCTAATTGACAATAAAGAGCAAAAAAACCCTATTCTAACCACGCTTTTAATCTACCAATTAAAAAAACTGTATTTTTATAATTTTATTTATGAATATAAATAATATTTAATACATAACCGTGTCAAATACATTTTTAAGTTATAAATTAATACTAAAATATTTATACATTCACTATAAAATTAGTCATTGTTATCGTTACAATTGATCACTTGTTTATCCCTTTTATCTACACGTACTTTTTTCTAGCTTTTTCATTTAAAAAAGTTCAAATAACATCATCAAAGTCCTAGATATTTTACAAATTCACTCTTAATGCTCAAAATTCAAAAATTCAAAAATTATTTTTTAATAAGAATAAAGTTTTTAATATTTTTAATCGGGAAAAAGATCTTTCACTAGAATACGACCGATGCCGGATGAAAACAAAATATTTTATTTTTTCCAATCGAATCGATACAATTATAAAATTAATAATTTTTATAATAACTTTATTTATAATATATCAACGCATCTATGTTATTATTACAAAAATAAAAATGATAATAAACAAATCAAATGTTTGTATGATTTAATTTCATAATATTATGATACACGAACAGTAGATATAATTGTTATTCGCCTCGCTAACACTATTTACAACATGATTCAGTGTGAAGAGTTAATACATTTAGTATTTATTCAAAAAAAGACCTAAATATAACTTTAAATAAAAATCAAAGTATATAATGTATATAATATACATGTGTATATACTGTATAATTTTGGTAAATTCAACCAAAATCCGAATGTAATCTAACCATTTTTGTCGGCTGAATTTTGTCTGCAATAAACGGTCGAGTATATTCGACTATTGTCTGGCTTAGTTAGACCATCAACTTAAGTGCCAATCAACAGATTTTAAATTTTCTCAATACAAAAAAAAAAATTCTACGGGGCGAACTTTTTTGCGGGCCTTAAGCAATGCTTAATTTACTTATAGGTTCATTGACGTAATTTCGCTAAAATTCAGGGGGTGCCAAACTAATCAAGAAAGTTACAAACTTTCAAAATCTTTAACTTTGCAAATTAATTTACCACTTTTAACTTAATTCCAGTTCCTCGATCAAAATTGTATACAGTATACACAATTAAGTACATTTTATGATATAAATCAGAGGCGGCCAAACTTTTTTCGGCCACGATTTACTAAAAATATATTTCACCTTTTAAGATCAACTTTCTTGGAAAATTTTTTTATAAACCAGAATAAAAGATAAAAACTATACAGATAAAACTTATCGACAATTTGTTCATAATCACAACGATTAATTTTCGTGCACATGGCCTAAAAATAAATTCTAATATGATCGACTCTGAAATCGTCCGCGATCGACCGTTTGGCTGCCCCTAATACAAATAAATAATAATTAGTTAACACCTTATAATTTATTTTTACTCTCTTTGTTTATTATATTCTGATTATTACCTGATAATGTTCATCTATCATTATCGCAAATTCAAAACAATCATGTTTCCGTTAAGATAAAAGATATAATATAAATATTTAAATTTATATAATATTGATTATATTTTTTTGGATGTACACAGTGGTTAAAGCGGGGGGGACGAAATTCTCCTTCTTATTTAAGGTAAGATTATGCGTCCTCTTTAATTTAATTCGCCAAAAATCCGGGTGGACGCTTAATAGCATTGGTCACTAAAATACAATACTTATTATAATACCTATTACAATATTACATGAAATATATTTTTTTGATTAATTTGCACAAGTGGAAAAAAGAAATAATGCGTACCTAGTTATAATATATAAAGTATTTATATTTTACAGTAATAATGTATTTCAATTTATTTTTACAGAGCAGGCATATGTATAGAATTATTTTTCTTTGGGGGAAACTTGTTTTTACACCCTACATGTATGTGTAACAAAAGAGGCTTAAACCTCATGGTTTCCTAAAAAAGGTTGGTAAGATTTAGAATTCGGTGGGTGAATGTTCCTCAATTTTGGATGCATACAGTCCCCCCACAACATTTTTTCCACTTTAACCACTTCATTATAATCCCTAGACCCACCATTGTACTAGTTATACCTACATTATAAATATAGAAAATTTAAGGGAGAGTACAATTTTACAGTTTTGCACCCCCTCAAAAAAACCAGAGAGTGCAAGTGCATCCCTTTGCACCCTCGAAATTACGCCTATGTATAGGTTAATCCGACATTGCGTTCACCCCAAACTACATTATTCAAATTCAGTTTTAATAAAATATTATTTTAAGTAGATTTATGATAAGTAACCTCCTATCATAAAATAAATAATTTAACCATTTACAACTTCAATTTATATTCATTTTCTCATAAATATTTAATTTAAAATAATTATTTAAATTGTTTGCACTAGCATCTACTTGAAATAGCAAAAACAACATTTTATAATTTAATAAGTAAAAAGTGAAATTAAATTTGAGTTGATTATCATGAAGAGAGTTAACACTATTATACTAAAGGTATAAGTGTAACATAATAAACCACATTATCATTTGCACACCGAAGTTTTACAAACCAAACTCTTATTATAGATAATGATATAAATATTTTAATAAACAAACAAAATTCGAAACTATTTATGAAAATACCTGAATAATAGTGATATATTGAGTGCAATTAACAGAATTCCTTTCGATGTCAATTCCAGCAAATGACCTAACAAAGTTTTTTACTTTTAAAGTTGTTTAAATTAAATTATAATTACTATTATATTCATTGTATTGAGTATTCTATTTTCTTACACTTTCCTAAAATCATTACTCATCATCATCTTTTTTTAATTTAGTGAATAAGAATTTATGAAACCATGGTATGGTTAGGTTAAGTTTTGGTGGTTTTCTTTCCATTTCGAAAAAAAAGTGATTTTAACTCATACCACAGTTCATGTATTATTATATTAGTATATTAGTATATATTAGTATAAGCCAAAACCAAACCATGTACCTGTGTTCAATAAAAGTATCATGTTTCTTCTATTTTCATTGTTCTCAATGGCCTCTAGTTAATTTTACCAGAACATAATATTAAAACATTAGCAAAATAAAGAATTTCTCTTAATATTGGTTAAATTAACATTAATCAGTACAATTAAGAGATGGTTTTATATAATTTTTCATGTGATAATCCAACTTGAACATAGACGTGCACAGCCCTGTATTTTAGGGGAAGCCTACAATACTTTTGGACCCTATCTTAATAAAATGTGTATGTATTTTAATAAATAATTAAATAAACATAACTTAATTTTTTTATTTAATTTTGTGACATACTCGTAATAGTTCCAATGAATATGTTTTCCTTGAAACTTGAATATTTTTCTTAGATATGTTCAATAATTTATCATTTGTACTTTTGTAGTCAATTGTAGCTATTATATTATCATAAGGTTTTGCATGAACATTAATTTTAATTTTTCTACAGAACAACATTAATTTTTATCAAATATTTTATATTAAATATTTACATTAAATTTAATTTGAGCAATATCAATTAAAATAAGGGCCCCTCATTCTTGAACATAAATTGTATGGTCTCATTTATAACATTTCGAGTGGTGCTCGGGCACATCCGACACTCACGTGCGCACATCTTTAAGCTTAGAGTATTTCACTTTCTGTTTTCTCATAATTATGATTCATGACTTATGTTTTAATTGATATTTTGTGTTTCTGATAGTCTTTTATGAAATCCTAAGACAAACTTAATTTTCTATAGATTGAAGGACAGCCATGTGGGTAAAGAATATTAAATATTCTCTGAAATGGTCCACTTGATATGGTAGTTTTTATTACAAACACCAAAAACTAGTAAGATCTTCCATAAGTTATGATTAGTTGCAGTGGCACCAAATTGTATTTCAATTGGTGGGCAAAATATAATTCAGCAAAATAAGAAACGTAACACGCAGTTACTAGTAAAAAAAATTTTAATTGCATTCCAAAATAATCTTTTCGAAATCATTTAGTGTAAAAGGCAGAGTACTCTTACAAGAATATGTAAAAATGATTGAATTAGAAGATTAGATAAAAAAATTGTTGCACTCATAAAACATAATATCATAAATAATCGATTATTTTTGATGGGCAGTAGCTGATTATAAAAAATACTTGTACATAAAAATATCAACCAATCATGATACTATAATTTCAACAAAATTACAGTTGAATTATCTTAACTAAAAAATAATGTCCATAATAATATTTTTCAATATTTTTGAGAGAATTTATCTCAAAATTTATAGCAATAAATTTAAATTTAATTTTAAAAAAGTTGATTTAGATAAGATGATTGTCTATTATTTTATTTAAAAATTTCAATGTTTTTATACAAAGATGAATTTAAATATTTTTATTGGTATTCTTTGTAAAATATTTCATAATATTTTATTTCTCATATGATTAAGTACTTATATTTTATTTTTAAATACTTCCACTAAGTGTAAAAACTTATAATTATTAAAATTAATAAAAAATAGCTTAAAATAATAAATATATTTTAATTTACTATTACAACCCCTGTACAAAATTAATTAATCTAATGTTTTACAATATTTTAATATGAATTAATCAAAAACTATAAAATCATGATAAATTATATCAGTAAAACAAACTGTTATAAAACAGTTTAATAAAAAATAACATAATTAAATAATAATTTATACATACAAATACATACAATGTTCAAAAGTTTATCTTTTTAGGTTTTTTGACAATAATAAATTAATAATACATTTTTAGAAAACATTGGTTTGAGTAGAATTTAACATAATATGTAACCAAATACAAACCTTCAATTATAATAAAAATGGAAATAGTGTATATTAAAGGTAATCATACAAATTTATCATTTTAACCTTTCTTTTTAAAATTTAAAAAACTATAATATAATATAAAACAAAATTTAATTGATATTTTTTGTTCACATAGGATATAAAATAATTAAATGGACTCAAACCAACATATCATTGAAAATATATTACTTATATCAGTACATTCTTAAATTTAAATAATCATTATATTATAATAGGTACAATTTAAAATATTTTAACTTCAAGCGAATTTTATTTAAAATTAAAATATTAATAACAAATGGTTTCTATGTAAAAAAAAGAAAAAAAAAGTAGAATTAGAAATCCTTTGATCCTTCTAGTAAGTGTAAATTTTGTTTTATCTAGGCATAAAATAATATTTTAATACACAACTTAAGCAAAATTAAATAAAATCATACATTAACTAAAATAGATACCTGCTTTAAAAGTACAGACTATTAATTAATTAATATAAAATATTAGTTTAAAATAAGGAATAAGCATTTGAACATATATGAGTTAATTAATATATTACCATAAACTATAATCAGTGTCTTCTTGGTAAAGTGTTAAGAAAAATCCTATAAACGTCAAATAAACAACTACGTTTCCAAACAATGTAAAATTACAGGCTGTCCACGCAATCTAAAAAGGATTTAATAAAATTATTTAAAAAGAATCACAACTCAAGAGCTATATGAAATATTTGAAAAAATAAAAACTTACAGTCTGGACCCTGGCCATAATTATAGGTAAGGCAAATGATGATACCACTATACCCATTGTAAGAAATACAGCCAATTCCATGTTGGCATTACCTGATCCTGAATAATCATTGTACCGTTTCATCAACATGGTCGGCAATGGCGCAAACAGGTAAAATACTACTACTATAAATGGCCACCAAGAACTAAAAAAATGAATAAGGTACTATCATAGATGATACAATTATTAAAAATTAATTTTTTAACTCCTACTTTAAATCTGGTAATGCACATGCTAATATAACCAATGTCATACCAATTGATCCAGCAAAGGCTAAGGTCATTAACCTGCAAAAAAATAAAAACATATTAGAACTCATAAAATATTTAATTTATATAAGTAAATAATGTATGTAAATTGATTTTAAATCATTACATTATATTACATATTATATACTTAATAAATATAAAAATTATTTTTAACATAAGAAATTAATAACTTACGCTATTTAACATCAAATTGAAGTAATTGAAGAGATCATGAAACAAAAGAAAAATACAATATTAATTATTTATATAAGTAACTAATACTAAATTGTAATTAAAGTTCAAAAAACTTCAATAAAAATACATAAAAACATTATAGTTTGGCAAACAGTAGATAAAAAAATTTAAATCATTTATTAAAAAATACTGATATGAAACATTAAGAATAATACAAATATAACTAATTTTTACATTATAATATTAAAAATAAATAAAATATATATATATATATATATTTTTTATATTAAATGTAAATAACTTAAAATTTATAGATTATTTTTTATGTTAAGATTAGATATCATAAATACAATATTATAATCTATTTAATTATTGAAATTTATTTCAATAATTCCAAAAATATTAATTTTACTTTATTATACTTTATAAATATATTATATATATTATATCCAATTAAGTGTAAACTAATCTGGTTAAACATATGTATCAGATTTAGTTATTTGTTTAATTATATGTTTTTATTATAATAACATAATAATTACATTTCAATAGTAATACCCTACAAAGTTATAAACATGATGAAGTCTTATAATAAACCAGTTTTCAATGACATCTGAAAACTAAATTTAATATCCTATACCCATAATAATATTTAGTTTCTTTATTCTTTACAATAAAAAAAATATTGATGGTCAACAACATTCACAGCATTCAAGTATGGAATAAAACTGTAATAAATACAAATATAATATTTAAATTAACTTAAACATTCAACTACTATTTTCCTCTAAACTTGTTATATAAATTCTGTTAATTCAATAACTGAGTATTTTTAAGAATATCATTGTATAAAGTAACATTAATAAATATCAAAGGATAATAAAATGAAATATTACATACATGTGAATATAAATAGTTATAAATTAAATAGTTAATACCATAATAACAAGTTGGCAATAGATTTTAAAATTGATATAATTAATGGTTATCTTCTTGGTTAGCTAAAATATTTTTCTTTACTTTTTATAAAATTAAACAATGAATAAAGACAATAATTAATTATTTTAATCAAGATAATTAGTAAAATAAAAATATTATATCAATTCACATATTGAGTGACACTTAAATTAAAAATATCTACAACCAAATGAGAGTTCTAGACCCAAAAACTGTTTGCCAATTTTCTCCTAGATTAGTAATACTCAACTTGCAACCTGCCAAATTTTTGTGCCCCAAAAAAAAGAAAAAAAAATCATTGAGCCAATAAGAATGTATTTCAAAAATACAAATATTAATAAATAAAATAACTGTTAAATTATCACGGGCACTTCAAAACAACAAGCAATAATCAATTAGCTGCATTCAGATACAAAACTATTTCACAAACATAATGAGTTAAAAAATGATATATATTTGGAAGAAATATTAAAGGAAAACAAAAAACAAAAAGAATAAATCAAATTTTGAATTAAGTGTCTAAAAAATATAAAACCGTATAAAAATTTGCCCACTTGATGTTAACCATTTTCACATCAATATAATATGTTTGTGAAGTTCCATATTCAAAAATGAAATATAAAAAAAATATCTTTGTTTCTTGATGACTCATTGAAAACAGTATGTAGCGAGTAAGGCTGTCTTAGACAAATTACTAAGCTCAATTGCATTCATTCAAAATCAATATACTATTTATAATTATAAAAATATTTAAATGCATGATAAATAAAGTTTGTTAAAAAAAATTAGAACACAGAAAAAATTGAATTATGTAATAAATAATTTAAAGTCATATTTATAAGTATTATGTTTACATTTTCTGTATTGACAATGCTTATTGACATTACTACTTTAACAAAATATTAGTAATAGATGTTTTAAAAATATTTATGAATATATAATTAATTAAGATAAATAGAAGAAAAATTTATAGTGTACTTTCTGTGAAAAAATTTAACAAAAATGCGGGCAAAAAATTTTAAAATTTTTTCTGCTTATTATTTATTTATATTTTATCAATTTAAGTAATAGAGGTACAAATATAAAACTTATATTTTAAAATATATGAATCCAAAATCATATTTTTACTTATTTATTAATTTCTTCATTAAAGTTTTTCATGATCAATATAAAAAAATATTTCAACATTCACAAACCAGTAATGGTTAAAAAATAAAAAAGGTAACCAAAATAAGTTTAACTCAGCAATGGCTTTGATAGTATGAAAATTTTGAACAATCTTTTTCTTACTATACAATTTTAGAGATAAATATAAAAATAAACAGGTATGAAATAAGTTTTAGTAATTAAAAATGTATAATAATCTTAACATAACATTACTTTTCATATTTAAGACTTATGAATTATACTTTTTTTTACATGTATTCTATTTTATAACTATGTTTTCTTTGAAAGTAAAATCAGTTAGTATGAATTAAATAGTAAATATAAATACTAAATTAGTATGAAAAAGAGCTAAAATAAATACATATGGTAAATGTAGCCATATTTAACCCATTATTATTTAACCCAAAATACTAACCATTTAAATAGTTAAGTATGTGACTTAGCAGAAATATAGTCAGTTATCTAGGTAATTGATAAATTGATTTTTTTACTTGAAGTCAAACAATGTTGATAACTGGTAAAACCTTATTTGCTTTCATGTATTGAGTGTTTCTAATTATCTTAAATAACATTATTAATCTATTAAAAAATTTAATAAAAAAAAGAAATACTGCTATTTATTTAAAAATTAATAATTCAATTTTAATGTTATTTATAAAGACATTTTTAAATCATTAATTTTTACACATTAATATATTACTATACCTATAATATCTATCTACAATATTTAGGTAATAATTTTTATCACTTATAAATAATTGTCAAAGGTACTAAAACATAGTTGCTTTGAACTTTATGAAAATTATAATAAATCTTTTAGTACTAAAACAAATCTAATTCTTATATGAACTTTTGAAAGAATTATTTAATTATTTAACTAATGATAAAAAAATAAAAACATTTCATGCTTCATTCACAATTTAAAACAATTCCATTTTAATAAGTCTCATTCTGTTAACTTAAGAAAACACCATACACGCTTCTGTTCTCTCTATCTAACACACATACAACATAGGTACCAAATTTGTGTTTAGTAGTATAAATATAGTGATGTTAACTTTAATATTAGAGTTAACTGAACTTTAATAAAACTTTAATTGAAGAACATTGTTAGTTGCTTTTTTTGATACTTTTATTTTTAAATGAGTTATGAGTTTTTTTTAACTGTAATATTTTACAAACTCATCTCATTTAAAAACTAACATCGTAAAAAAATCAATGAACAAAGCATAGATAATGTTCTTCCCTTAAAGTTTGATTATAGATCAGTTAACTCTAATATTAAATTTAACATCACTATATTTAAACTATTGAATGCAAATCTACTATGTTGAATGTGTGTCAGACAGAGAAAACACATTCGGGTATGTTGTTCTCTTAAAAAATACAATATAAAATCTAGAAAATAAAACTTTTATTTTTATAAGCTTAAATAAAAGTAGTAAATAATAAGTAATAAGTATTAAGTAAATAAATAATAAAACAAAAAAAAATCAATAATATTTTTATAAAACGGTTTGTATGCATAAAATGTTTTTCTTTTTTTTTTAGTAACTATAAATTGTTATTTGTATAAGTAATAAACTTATTTCTAAATAACATTTATAATCTTACATAATATGAAACATTTAATGTTATTATGTTCAAGTGTAAGTAATTTGAGAAAATAATAATTTAATTTAGATTAGTTTTTCAGAGATATATATAACATTAATAATGTTGGTCCAAGAAAAATTAACACTACTAGTTTTTTACCCTGTTTAAGGGTTATTTTGTATGAACCAATTGTTTGCCCTTCTTCATCACAATGCAATTTCTAATAAAGAAGTACTATTGAAACAAATTTGTAGTAAGCTAATATATTTGGATAATATGTCAAAAGCATTCATTGGAAATAGTGTGTTCTTATCAATACAGCACAGTTGTATTTTATCTACAATGACTTGGTATGTAGCACATGTGAAACAAGTTTAACTTCTGATCTGTGGACTTGTATTTTAACAATAGCATCAGATTTTGAAGGGTAGTAAGAGTAGTAAAAATATTTCAGAAATTCAATAAAATTATCAGAGTGAATTCCTAAAGAACCACCTACATTAATAACTAAGAAGTTAAATAGCTTTGTTTTTACAAAGGATTAATGAAAATAAAATAAAATAAAACAGGATAGGATGTCAAATTGTGAACGAATCATGTAACCATTATGACAAATCAACTAGGGAGGCCTTAAAGTTGGAAAGCCAAAAAGGCAAAAAGGTCCCTAGAAGACACGGGCATTTACTTGTCCGAACGGCGGTAGACGCATTATACGGATACGAACGCAATAACGTCTGTACAACAGTAGACGGTCGGTCTCCTATTGCGTTTAGCTTTCAATCCGGCCATAGTGAACGACCGAATGCAACGATGCTCGTACGGATGGCCGTGCGCTATTCACTCGGTGAGGCGACCGATTTATAAATCTTAATGACTGCACGTCGTTGTTAACGAACAATGGACAATGGTACGCGAACAAGCAGGGAAAACAATATTGAAATATAATTATTTCAATAAAGGGATCGGACACACGGGAGAAATGCGACGTCAAACAACGACGATAACAAACGTAAAACAATAATGTGTAGGTAACAACAATGATAGGGCGAAGGCAGCGCGAGTTATCACGAAAAAAGTCGACGCCGGGGCCGATCGTCACGGGGCATAATAATAATTGTTGTACGCGGCTGCCCGAATACGTGATGTTACTTAAATGTTATCATCACGACGTTAACAACAATTATTGTTCGTTCGGCGGCGGCGTTATCAGCGGGCGACCAACAGTGTGGACGGGCCGCCGCGGGTTAGGTCCTCGGTGAACCCATAGAATAATAACCGGTGCGTGACGCGAACGATTCGCGGTGGACGGACGCGCGGCAAAGAGACCGACCGACCGTTGGCACGACCGTTTTTCCCATACCGGCCGCCATCTTAGGCCACGGCATGATTGTGCTCTTTTGATTTCCCGGTCCCTACCCCCATCCCCACCACCACCATAGCCTAGTCGCAGCGAACCACCGTATTACACACACGTAATTGTACAAGCATCGCTTTTGTGTCGTGTTCATTATTCGCATTCTTTTTTTTTTTTTATCATAACTACTGTTCGTTATTTTTCAACCGTCGGTGGTTTTTCGACGACCGTGCGTTCCGTAAGTACCCAGTGCCCGAATCCGCCGAGTTCTCGAACGTCTCGTGCGCCTAGCCCCAACCCCCCGGTATTCAAAGCGACGAGCAAACATCGTCGATAGCAATTTTTATAAAGCATAAGCACCGCCGAATACCATCATGTCCGAACCAGCAAAAGGGTGAGTTATAATACTAGTGGAAATCTCTACCGCCTCAACGAGCGACGTTTTTTTGTTTTACGAAACTGCCCTTGATGCGGACAGTTTCCCAATAAACGCTGTCACCGTTTCCCTGGAATTTACGCGATTGATTTCCTAGCCGATCGTTTAGCTCGGTCATTGATAACCGTTAATTTGCCGACTGTCATGATTTTCGCTCTTTTAATTCATTTTCCCCTAGGATTCACAGCCCAAATTAACAGAAAATCTGTTCACGTTCTAACAATGAATTCTAATAGCATTAATATATAGTTAATGTGTAGAAATAAATAATTAATCTTTGTCTAGAGTATTATTATATTTGTAAAATACGGCCGGTTTCAAATTAAAAATTCTTCTGGTATATACAAAGTCATTAAAATCACAATTCTACATGTATTCTCTATCTATTCCTATAAATTTTAAATTTAAAACAAGTCCTACTTAACAAATATAATAATAATCCAGGCATTTATTTATTTCTATATATAAACTATTTATTGACTTATTTATACATTAATTTATGAGTATTAACCATTTAATACATTTTAATTATCTATTAGTATTGTCACACAACTGTTACACAAAATTATGCACACTATGTCCATCGGACAAAGACTATTATGTATATGTACACAGGAATTATTTTAAGACAAATGTGTTGGCATACTAAACTTTTTGTTTATACTTTAATAGTATTTTAAATATTATTCTTATGATCCTAATTTCCACAAAGAATAAATGGAACAATAACATACTTGACTACTATTTTATTTTTTATTATTATTCTTGACCTTATAATAAATAATATTTTGTTTTGCTAGATTATTTTTAGCATTAAGTTATTATTATTTAGAATTGAATCCATACTTTTATTGTACATTCATAAATTTACTTCAGTTTTTCAATTTATATTTAAATTTTCAGAGAAGAATTGGCCACTGCAATTTTAAAGCAAAAAGATCGTCCAAATAGGCTCATTGTTGAAGAAGCAATCAACGATGATAATTCAGTTATTGCACTATCCCAGGTAACAAAAATAAAAATACAAAGTAATTATAAGTTGTACTTATATATGTATTCAAAGTTTTATTTAAGGGGTATAACTGAAAAAATACCACTGAAACATACTTACCAATTAATTAGGTATTTTACTACTTATCCTTAAAATGTATATATGAATTTAAAAAAAATAAAGTAGGCATGTTTTGACTAAAAATAGTTGCTGGTTCAAACCTAGTCACTGATAATATTGCTTTCTAAATGAGATTGCTGTCCACAAAGAAAAATATTCCAATATTTATCATATAAATTAAAATCTTACTAGCCAAACCAACATGAAATGGCTCCAAATTTTTAAAAAAATAAATATAATAAAAGAACTTAAAAGTATTTTATTTTCAATAATTTCTCAAGCATTTATAATTACATTTATGTAATTTCTTCATATATCTATTACTATTTTCTCATCTGGTAATAATATTTATTCCAGATGTGTAATCAACAAATATAATGGGGACACTTAACTAATAATACAGTATTTATTTTATTTCTTATTGCATTTAATAATTGTTTATTAATTTTAGGCTAAAATGGATGAATTGCAATTGTTTCGTGGTGATACTGTTTTGTTAAAAGGCAAACGTCGTAAAGAGTCTGTATGTATTGTTTTATCTGATGAAACATGCCCAGATGAAAAAGTACGCATGAATAGAGTAGTACGTAATAATTTACGTGTTAGAATATCAGACATAGTACAAATACAACAATGTCCTGATGTAAAGTATGGAAAGCGCATTCATGTTTTACCTATCGATGATACAGTTGAAGGTTTAACAGGGTAAAGATTTTTTTTATATTTCTACATAATTTTAAATTTAAATGTACTTACATTATTAATTAATACATATTTATTTTCTATAGAAATTTGTTTGAAGTATTCCTTAAACCATATTTCTTAGAAGCGTATAGACCTATACATAAAGATGATAATTTCATTGTCCGAGGAGGCATGAGAGCTGTAGAATTTAAAGTAGTTGAAACTGATCCGTCTCCGTATTGTATTGTTGCTTATGATACAGTTATTCATTGTGAAGGAGATCCAATTAAAAGAGAGGTACATATATATATATTTTTTTTTTTTTTTGACATTTAGATATTAAATATTAAATATTAAATAAAATACTTTAAATATTTTAGGAGGAAGAAGAAGCATCAAATACTGTTGGTTATGATGATATTGGTGGTTGCCGTAAACAGTTAGCACAAATTAAAGAAATGGTTGAACTTCCTCTTAGACATCCAAGCTTATTTAAGGCTATCGGTGTAAAGCCTCCGAGAGGAATTTTGCTGTATGGACCTCCTGGAACTGGAAAAACACTCATTGCTCGTGCTGTAGCTAATGAAACAGGAGCATTCTTTTTCTTAATCAACGGTCCTGAAATCATGAGTAAACTTGCTGGTGAATCTGAAAGCAATTTAAGAAAAGCATTTGAAGAAGCTGATAGAAACTCACCCTCTATTATTTTCATTGATGAACTAGATGCTATTGCACCTAAACGAGAAAAAGTAATTTAAAAAATTGTAACATTAACTAATAATAATAAACTCTAAAATTATATTTTAATAAATTATTTAGACTCATGGTGAAGTTGAACGTCGTATTGTATCTCAATTATTAACACTCATGGATGGTTTAAAATCATCATCTCATGTTATTGTAATGGCTGCTACTAATCGCCCAAATTCAATTGATTCAGCTCTCAGACGTTTTGGTCGTTTCGATCGTGAAATTGATATTGGTATACCAGATGCTACTGGACGCTTAGAAGTTTTACGTATACACACTAAGAACATGAAACTTGCTGAAGAAGTAGATTTAGAACAGGTAAAAATAATAAAGTAATATTTATAGTTTTTAATAATTCTAAAATTTATGAATTCAAATAGATTGCTGCTGAAACTCATGGTCATGTAGGTGCTGATCTTGCTTCTTTATGTTCAGAAGCAGCTCTGCAACAAATTCGTGAAAAAATGGACTTAATTGATTTAGAAGATGATCAAATTGATGCTGAAGTATTAAATTCATTGGCTGTTACCATGGAGAACTTTAGGGTAATTTAAATTGTATTTCTTCAAATTTTATATTATCAGTTCATATACTTATTAATTTTGTAGTATGCTATGGGTAAGAGTAGTCCAAGTGCTTTGAGAGAGACTATTGTTGAAGTACCAAATATTACATGGGAAGATATTGGAGGATTATCTAATGTAAAGCGCGAGTTGCAAGAACTTGTTCAGGTATGTTATTATCAAACTAACTTAAAAAAATAATAATAATAAATAAAACTTTCTCTTGGTATCTATAATCTGTAGTATCCAGTTGAACATCCAGATAAATTTTTGAAATTTGGTATGCAACCGTCTCGAGGTGTATTATTCTATGGACCTCCTGGTTGTGGTAAAACATTACTAGCAAAAGCCATTGCCAATGAATGTCAAGCCAACTTCATTTCTGTTAAGGGTCCTGAATTGTTAACTATGTGGTTTGGTGAATCTGAAGCCAATGTCCGTGATATATTTGATAAAGTATGTACACTAATAATGGATTTATTTTTGGCTAGTTTAAAACAAATATTGTATTTAGGCCAGAGCTGCTGCTCCATGTGTACTGTTTTTCGACGAATTGGACTCTATTGCAAAATCTAGAGGTGGAAATGTTGGTGATGCTGGTGGTGCAGCTGACAGAGTAATCAATCAGATTCTGACCGAAATGGATGGTATGGGTGCCAAAAAGAATGTATTCATTATTGGTGCTACTAACAGACCTGGTAAGTTCAATATACTAATTATTTTTGTTATTACTATTATTATTTCAATATAGATAATTAATACCAGGCATATAGATTAGTGAAAAAAATTAATCTGAAGTAAGTAAATTAGACACTTGAAAAGTAAAACCAAACGGTTGATCGTGAATGATTTCTGAGTTGATCATGTTAGAATTTATTTTTAGGCCATGTGCACGAAAATTAATTGTGATTATGAACAAATTTTCGATAAGTTTTATCTATATAGTTTTTATCTTTTATTCTGGTTTATAAAAAAATTTTCCAAGACAGTCGATCTTCAAAGGTGAAGTATATTTTTAGTAGGTTGTGGCCGAAAAAAGTTGGGCCGTCTCTGATATATATATGGTCATAATGATTATGTCTAAACATTTACATTTTATAAGATAAAATTATGATAAGTTAAAGCTCCTACAGATAGTTGAAATACTATTGAGATTAAAAGGTAGATTTTTTAAGAGCAATTGTGATTAGGACCCGGAATTATATGCACTAAAAACGTACAAAATATGCATGTTTATTTATTTAATTTTAAAATGTTTACAATTTATTAAATAATTAATATTTAACCAAAAATACACTTTAAAATACATCAAATGTATTTTATTAAACTGTATGCTGTATTGAAATTAAATATTATTTTGATTACTCACTCATCTAAACAAAAATCAAACAAATCAAGTGGATTTTTATAATACTTTTTAAGTTACCTGTAGAGTACTATCCTATTGGTATTTTTAGCAAACTTTATCTTATCTTATTATAACACAAAAATCAAATTATATAACTGCAGGATTCACGGAATTTACGATGGACATGCACTAAGTAATATATAATAATATTAATAACTTCGTAACATTTTTTTCTATATTTGCATTATATTTCAGAAAAATGCTAAAATATGCCAAATTTAATTTCACATACCAACATATTAGATTAAGATTCAAATTTATTTCTTACCTAGCTATTTTTTAGTGTAATATATAAAAATATGCAAATGCATACAATTCCGGGCTCTAATTGTGATTAACAAAAATGTTGAGCAGTGAAAGGAAAGAGAACATGAAGGTATATTTAAAAAGTGGCACCACTAATTATAGTTGAAATGAGAAAATAGGTTAAGGTATATAGTGAAGGAAAACCTATTTTGATGAATTTATGGCAACTAAAATGATTGATCAAATGTAATTTTGAATGAAAACCGATTAATTAAGAAAATTATAATTTGAAACTTAATAATTCATTTATTTTTTCAATTTAGATATCATTGATCCTGCTATTCTTCGCCCAGGGCGTTTAGATCAACTGATTTATATTCCTTTACCCGATGAAAAATCACGTGAAGCCATTTTCAAAGCTAATCTAAGAAAATCCCCAGTTGCTAAAGTAATTAATATACATTAATTACTTTAATTAAATGCATTTGAATTAATTAATATTACAATTATTATTTTAGGATGTTGATCTAACCTACATTGCTAAAGTTACTCATGGTTATTCTGGTGCTGATTTGACTGAAGTATGTCAACGTGCCTGCAAACTTGCTATTAGACAAAGTATTGAAGCAGAAATTAGACGTGAGCGGGAAGCTGCCAATAATCAAGGAATGGAGGTAGTTGTATTATAACATATTATAAAATAATTTTGTTACATATTATAATATATTTTTTGTTATAGACTGATGTAACTGAAGATGATCCTGTCCCAGAAATTACAAAAGCTCATTTTGAAGAAGCTATGTTGTATGCTCGCCGTTCTGTAACGGATAATGACATACGCAAATATGAGATGTTTTCACAAACTTTACAACAGTCTCGTGGTTTCGGTACAAATTTCAGATTCCCTACAACGACAGGTCAACCAGCTGCCAATAATGCAACAACTGGTGGTGATCAAGCAACCTTCGCAGATGATGGTGATGATGACTTGTACAACTAAACAGTTTCCCCTTCCCTCAAATAATAGATTTAATGTATATTTGAAGTTTTAAAAAAATATTCAAGCATTTTTTTTTTTTTTTTTTATATATATTTTAAAATAAAATGAAGAAATTTAATACACATATATGGTTTATTAATAAGTTAAATACAGTTTTCTAATTTATGTTGTGGTTTTACAATACTTAGGATTTTTTTTTAAAAAAAATTGGTGGGATACAAAAAAAGCTGTTTTCGTCTGTTTTTTATACTCTTTATTATTTATTTTTCCTTTTATAAGAATTATTATTAATAAAATTTAAACAAAATACAAGCACAAAAAAAGGAATAGTATTGCTTTTAGTCAGTAGTTAATTCGAGATCGTATGTGTCCATGATCGCTGCCATAATGTTCCAAAGTGTATCCTTGTCCAAATCTTCAATCAACGCCTTAAAAAATAATTTAAATATAAATGACTTGTACATACTAAGAGATAAACACAAATTTATGAAATAAATATTATTCACGTGTCTCAATTATCAATAATATTAAGTATCATGAACCCCAGTGAAAATTAAAATTGCACAGTATATTTTTTTAAAAGATCCAAGTCAATTAACATAACATGAAAATGAGATAAATTATTGAAATAAATATCCACTTGGCTTAATTAAAATGAAAATATGTGAATCTTTCAGTTAATATTCTGAATACTTTCTCACTACTTTTAAAACATAAGAAACATTTAATTTCAGGAACAAACATCCAAAGAAAATAAAACATTTTCCAAGATGTCTTAACAGTACATTTTCACTTGCTTATTTTTTTTTTTTAAATAAAGTGACCTTATTAAACGACCCTGTGTGTTATGCCAATAATATATTTTATAATCATAATATGACTAAACATCAACAGTCCTGATATGTAGAAAGAGGTATATCACTTCAAATGATTGGTATCCTTTTAAAAATCAGCTAAAATATACATCAACTAATTGTTCACAAATTCCAATGATCTTTCACACTTTTAATTTTTGATCACATATTGTAGATATTTTGCAGACAATATAATAGAACGATTTTGTGCAAAAAATTGCTAAAACGAAAAAAATGTAAACTAATTCAAAAACATGTTTTGAAATGAGAACGATTTAATGACAAAACTATAAAAAGAAGAAATATACCTGATACCAAGGCTGTACTTCATAATCAATTATCTGCGATGGAATGCCGTACACTTTGATTGCTAATTCCATACAAGCAATAGCAATATGCTGAGGTTTATATTTGAGTATATCACTGCTATGATAAAAATCCTAAGAATTGAAAAAATATTAGTACTCTGCCAAAAACTAATGGAATAATGAAAAACTAATACATACATGTAAAAAGTCATATGCTTTTTTAAATACAATGATGTCCTTGCCATGTTTTGAATAGAACACTGGTCGAACAGTCTGAACGTAGTGTAGAAAATACTGTTGAAACAACAAGCACATAATTACAAAAATATTTTTAAAAATAAATAATTTAATTACATTGTGCGGATGATCAAATGTAGTATCAAACTGTAATAATCTCATTGTTAACATTTCAGCATGCACAATAGAATCGCGGAAGTTCCAATAATCTTCAGCTAATCGTATTGGAGCCGCATCTCTGTGTAATGTGTGATATGTCACATTTATCAAATCTCGAAGTTTGACAGTCTCATCATGTACTTTACTAGCCAAGTATAATGTTGCACTAGCTATAGACTGTAAACATATAAGCCAAGTTAAAGTTGTATTACATGCCAATAAAGAGAGATTATTTTGTTTATAATTTAAATAGACTCGCAACTGCATAAGTACATATTACTGAAAGCAGTACATTTAGCTTGATTATATGAAATAAAAACTATAATAATTGAAATGTTTGACATAGTCCGATTATATAATCTTGATAATCATAATTCAAAAACAAAATTCCATTTTAGGTACAAACTACCATCTGTAACAATTCGTATACATTTTGGTAAGTCCCATGTTCTTTTCAATAATTAACCAACCAAGCTCATTTGTTATTAATTCCTCATTTCATGACATTTAAAAATCAAACAATATTTTATGTCTTTCAAGTTTTAGTTATAAATATACTTACATACAAACACTGAAAAAAGTAATAACAACTGCACCCTTTTTATCAGTATGAACAGTAATTACACTTACATTTTGTGTTTCAAAGCATAAATTTTGTAACATAATAATTGTATGCAGTTCAATAAGTGTGATAATGTAGATGGAAACAAACTTTTTAACATTTTTAAATATTTTGGAACATTATTCTGTGTAAAAACCAAAAAACCCATCAGATAACAAGGTCATATTACAGGACATATAATCTCTAATTTCTAAAAAAATTTCTATACATATTATATATATATATAAAATATATAAATAAATCTGTAAAATAAATAAAAACTATCATTTATGTACAAAATTTAAGCCATGCTCATATTATTAAATTATTATATCATAAAACATTCAGTTAAAAATTAAATTTAAAAAACTATTACAATACACTCTATATTATATAATAGATTTAATAAATCTATCGTTATCATTGATTCAATACATTAATACTAATTTATATTGATTCTTCGTTCTTCATTAATTCAATTCAAAATAATATTTAGTACTCTCAAACATTTAATTTAAAGCAAAATGCTTGTCATAAAAATATTCTTTATCAGTACTAATAACTGCACTAGCAAATTATTATTATATTATGAATATGTGTAAGCACACAGCAAACTTTAATTTTTTTTTTCATCCTTTGAAATAGTAACAAATACATATGTATAAATATAATTTTATATATATTATAATATAGTTAAAGAACTAATCAAATGTAATCACCTAATTATGAATAAAGTGCAGTTCTATGATATTTGGTGCTCTATTGATTTCTAATAAGTTATGTATTTTGCAGTCATTAAATTATATTGTGTACTATTTGTTTCCAAGACAACCAATTTTCTTTGACTCATCTTTTTATATAATTTTGTACAACTACAATAATTAAACAAGCTGTAAAATCATCGAATATTTAAACACATATTAGTATTTAATAAAATAACAAACATACAGTTAAATCTGTAAAAATATAAACCTCATTGAATTATTAACATGTAATATTTTTTGTTTGTCAAACGTAAAATTTTATTTATGTAATATGTTTTAAAGTATTATAAAAATAAGAACATTAATATAATGATTGAAAAAAATATAAATATGCCCAATACTACATTCTAAAAATCAAAGTTCCAATTTAATAATAGTTTAATAATATTTAATAATGTTAATACAAAAAAATAAACGAGTCAAAATAATAATAATAATTTTTAAACCGATATATATAAACCCTAACTTACTAAATTGTATTTAAAAAACCGATAAATTTATAAACTTTTGTCATTTAACTCTTGAAACATACAATATTTTCAGTAAAATATCAAAATAAATAGGTATCAATGTTTAATTTTAATATTTCAAAAAAATTTGTTTTTCAGAAGATATAAAAATTACAATTTATATAAGTAATTTTAATATGTAAGCAAATAACAAAAATTGTATTGTAAAATTGATTACACTAATATAATAAATTTTGAAGAGTAATTTAAAATCAAAATAATTTTTACATTAAAATATTATTTGATAGCCATTATAATATTGCAAATTATAAAATGATGAAATTGTTTTAACAAATATTCAATTACACATTAGTGTTTGAGGATAAATTATAACTATCTAATTATACAATAATTAGGGTGTATTGTAATAAGTTTAAAATATAATACTAAGAAAAAAAATAATATTTAAAAGTACTTACATAATTGTCATATGGATTTTCATCAATATTTTCATAAAACTTATGGAAGTAAACTGCTGCTGAGCATATAGTAATATGTTTTAGACCAAGTTTTATACCTATCATAAAATATAAATACAAATTCATATATATTATACTACATATAGATTTACTACAATAAAACATACCACACTCAAATATATACCGAACAGCGATATAGTTTGACTTGTAAGCCAAATAGTTTGTGAGAGGAGCTTCAGGTTTTTGTAATTTGTCTTGACTCTCTGAACGCAGTTTAGTTCGATGTTTATTTTTAGAAATACTTTTGTTTTTCTTGTGAGATTTTACTTTCTGCTTATGAGATTTGTTCTTGCTTTTTGTGATACTCTTCACTTTTGATAATTTTGTTTTCCCCATTATGTCAAATATTCAAGACTTCTGGAAAGCAATAAAACACATTTTAAAACATAAATAATTAACAAATAATACAACAGTGCTAATGACTATTAGTGAAGTCACAGACATTATAACTAAAATCAATACATTTACTATTCATTGTAAATAAATATTATCCATATTCATACAAAAATGCATGAATATCGGACAACTGATTTTAAGTGACAAGTGATTAGGTATGTTACTATTGTTAAAGGAAATTAATTCAGTTAAAGAGATATAATAATATACATATTATATGAAAGTAAACAGTATAATTTTTTTAATTGTAAAAAAAAGAATTCACTTTAATCACTCCAGTGTTCAATCTCTTAGAATTTCTGACATTGTTATAAAGGTAGTAGTCAATAAAATTACAGCAAGCCTGTATATATGGCAGGGAAGTAATGGGTTAGCTTACCAAAATTTATAAAGTAGGTATATATTTAAAACATAACAACGACTTATCACAAACTTTATGAATTGTACAACTACAGTTTATTTCAAATCTTTTTTTGTTATTTTTAGACTACTTCAAAAATCAATTAATTGAAAGATTTATAAAACATAATTAAATTATTTCTAATTTGCAAAACTTGTTTGTAAATTGTATAATTAAATTAAATCAGCTGCAATGACTTTACAAATGCATTAATTTTTACAACAGTTTTTTACTGATTTATGATAATTTTAAATCAGAATTGAAGGTGTGGATGGAAAAATGGAAATCAATAATCGATAAAGAACTTCCAGTCTGGAATTAATACTATAAGTGTAATGCCAAAGGACTTTCATCTAAACATTTGGTGTTTAATATCCATATTTGCAACACTCTCAGTTGCCTTCATCAGCAAAACATTCAAATTCAACTTCAAGACAATTAAGACCTATTTAAGGAATAGCTGCAGTAAAGATCAACTAACAGATTTAGATTTATTCCGAATCCACCAAAATATCCTAATATTGAAGAAATAATCAATACATTTTCCAGAATCTATGCAAAGTTGTGTTCAACTATTTTTTTATTAATAATTAGTTACTATACATTATATATTTTTTACTATATAATATTATCATTAAATTAATATGTTATGTATGTTTAATTATGCAAGTATTAAAAATATTTTTAAATCCTTTTCCATATTGATTCTGAATATGAACTTGTATTAAAGGCAGTTTTCCAAGAGCAGTGCATGAAATTTTTCCAACCAATCCTTTTTAACAGTAACTACATTAATTGATAAATAAGATTATTAATTTAGAAGGTTAATGTTTTAATGTTTTATGAAAATGAAAAAATAAATATAAAATCTATCGTCCAATGTAATTACAGAAACATCAATAAATTACTATTAAAAGAAAAATCAATACATGATTGGAAATGTATATAGAAACTACTATCATCAATTGTTGTAATTAGGGACAATCTTGATATTCGTTCATCTATTTTTCGTTGGAAACATTCGATACCGCATAACCACACAATATTGGTTTTGCCATATTTGGAGTACCAAATAGTAAAACTTACACTGTACGAGAACACTGTGGTGTTGGAAACTCAACTACACGTCCATTAACGACTTGCACTTTTCAAGCACTGTTGTTGTAATTTAGTTTACCATAGGCCGCAGCCGGTCCGATTGATTTCATACACACCTAATAATCTGTCGTACAAATGGATATACACGGTAAACGGGAGACAGTACGGTAACCAGGTACCGACTGAAGCAATCGCACAGCGTCCAAGCCTCGAGTTTTTGCGAACAACCGTCGCACGCTTTTGCTGGCGGATACAACTAATGCGCGGCCAATGTATGCAACAGACGATTTCGTCAAGGAAACGATGTGGCGTCCAAACTTGCACAATGTAAACGGATCTTGATAAAAAATAACTCACAAACAACAAAATCAGCTACTTTACGTGTAGTCGGCGGTAGACGAGAAAAACGCTCGGGCGATACGGGGACCGGGGAACAATACACAGACGACGTCACAAACATGGACATGCGCCATACACACGGAACAACGCCGTCCGCTCAAACAAGGAAGAACGGTGATAAGCGCGATCGATGGTGATAAACAAGCGTCGTCCGCGCAGCATGACCACAGTGTATAGTGTGACCAATATGATTCCGATTGGGAACACGACAATGGTTTATCGTAGGGAAGAGCAAACTCTAAGTTACTAGAGGGCCAATTTTTAGACAATTAAAATCTAGCAAGCCTGAGCATAGAAAAAAAAAAGGTCATTCAAAATATGAATTTTAATTAACATTTATATACACGGAAATAATAAATTCAACACATACGGCAGCACGATACGAATAATACGAAGAAACTGATATTCTTAAATAGTTCGGTACAAACAGCCATGGGCGATATAAGCTATACTTATACATACATATGACATTTAAACATTTAACGATGTTTAATACTACATAACAATTATTATATCGATAAGTTTAGAATATAGACGATAAACTTTCAAATTGTATGGTGTAATTTTAAAATATAGTACGGACCAGATAAAGGCTCGTGGGCCGCCAGTTGTCCACCCCTGGCTTATCGTGGTTAGTGCGATCACCTAACCGATTTCGCATTCCTTCGTCCATACTCGAATGCAGTGGCGTAACTACCATAGGGCAATGTGGGGCAGTGCCCCAGGGCCCTGGATCACAAGAAGCCTTGGAATTCTTGGACAATTCAGAAAAATGTTTTTTTATTATTTGCCTGACATGAAATAGGCATTTAATCATATTCCTAGTAATTTAATTAAATGACTAGGCATTTAACTTTATTTGATTTGACTATATGCCTACGACGTATATATATACTATCCTTTTTGATATTCAATAAGTATAATTCTTTACTACACTGTAATGATGTACATCATCCGACTGTAAAATGCGGCATAAATCAATTATAATAATGCACACCATTCAATTTTAAACCACTTTAAAAAATAATAAATGACGAATTTTTCGATACCCGCACAGACAACACGAAAATCAAACAATGAAGGCCTAACCCTACAATACTTCATCGACATCATTAGTAGGCCACATCTTCAAACGATCAGTCCAAGATGCATTCGGCCATACCCCTATATAACAGGGATATATAACTCTCTCCCAGAAGTCTTGCCCATAGACCGCCAGCGCGTACGCAAGGAGCTCTTGTCCATAAGTCACTGGTGTGTGCGTAATGGTCTCTTGATCTTAGGTTGTCAGTAAGTGCGCACCAACCGTCAAATTAATAAAAGAGTCTTGTGACAACTGATCACCTCGTACGACTATTTAACTTATACAATTCATTTGTTTGGCATGAGTTTTCTGTACGGGTGTTGAAAAGTGTAATTCTTTAAATTTTTCAAATTACACAGCTGCAGTGCATCAAATCCTGTGCTTATCTTACTTCATTTCAACCTCATTACACTCCTACGATAGTTGTAAGTTCACAGCTCGTCGGCATTCTATTACCTGCTATAAAACAAGAAAGTGCTATTTTATTTGGCTTGCCACACTGTCTAGTTGCGCTGATCGGCTCTCGAACTTTTGTAATCACGAAGGCTCTCTCTTAAACAAGGAGGAAGGTAATCAACCCCAAAATATATAAGTACATAACATATATACTACGCCTTATTATATTCCCCCTTTATATTCCATTTTATTCTATTCCTTTTAATTTTTATTTTCATATTTTCTGGTTATTACAATACTATAAGATAACTCTACTCCAACATAAACTACGGCTTAAAAAAGCAGATATTATTGTATTTATATTTATTATATTATGTGATTATATGATAAATAATTTAAAAAAATAAATAAAAAATACCCATTTTAATTTTATAAATATAGAAAAAGTACATGGTACCTATACCCTCAAACTTGTGCTGCATATAAACACAAATTTTGAAGACCCCTACTGTAGAATATATTTAAAGAACCTAATTTAATCATTTATTTATTGTAAACGAAATCATTATGAAATTTAATAAACCATACGAAACAATCGATCGTAGCTAATAATAAGGGTCACGCTGTTCGTGAATATTTTAATACTTGATTTATTGACTATAGTCCTCTTAGGTGTGGACTATAAATTATTTAAAACTGTAGAGAGAAACTAACTCACCGTCATGAATGTAAAATAAAGCTCTGGTACTGTACATCATTGTTAAAAATGTAGTAAAATAAAAAAATACATTTTACTAACATTACTAAACATTATTAAATATAAATATTAATTACTGTGAAATATATAGAAGGGGATTCTCATATAGCATATTTACTCACGTTAAATTAGGTCTTGTTTACATTAAATTTGAAAAAAAACCACTGCTACTGCCATATTATACCAAACTGTGGTTGCTACTTTTTGAAAAAATAGCAATTTAAAATATTATCATACTTTTCGAATCACGTTTTAAAATTGGTAATCACGGAATAGCATTAACAGTTATTTTTTTATATTGTGATATGGCCAACTACCATCAGCCAAAAAGGAGCAATTAATTTTTTCATTGTGATCAACTGCTCTAAACAAAAAAGTAGCAGTCCCTATTATTGTCATACTGAAGTAACAGACTAATTTCTATTTTGAAATCACCCGTGAAAAATCACTGCTACTCCTATTTGATGCCATCACTAATTTATACACAGCTAAAAAAGATCACCAACTTTGGTTCCTTTAAAAAATTTAAAGATACAAGTAAAGTTAACAGTTTTGATTTGTTGAATATTTTAATTTTTCGTACATTTAATTTAACACGCAGAGGTGGATTTAAGGGAAAAATCCCAGGCGACATACGATATAAATGATCCAAGAATTATGAATCGTCGTAAATACTAACTCGTGACTTCTCTCTTAAAATACTGTTAAACTAGATAGGTATTGAACCAAAAAAAATATATATATACATTTATTTAAATTGTCCAAACTGGATATATTATTTCTAAATAACCTTATCAAAATTATCATTAAATTTAAACAAAAAAAATTTATATTGTTAAACACATAGTATCTTACTAATGTAATTCGGTAATTCAAGTAATTGTAAATTGTCTTCTGGCTTCAGCAAATATTTTAATAGTTGTGTCCAGATTTATTTTATTTGCCACCAATCTTTCGATAAAAATATACTGAGTTAACTTAAGGTATTTTCACTTAAAGTGGCACAACGATATTTTTTTTTTTTTTATTCTTTTTAAAGAACTCATTACTCATTCAGCAATTACCATACTAACAGGGCGTGTAAAAAATAATCTAAAAAGACTGATAAACTCTGGAAAACTGTCTATCAAATGTTTATCAATGATCAATTTTAAGTTATTCAGTGGACTATTGTTAATAAAATCGTTATTTTAAGAAAAATCTAAATTAATAAAACTAATTAACTCATATTTCAGATCAGTTGTAAAGAAATCAGCGTATTTCTCAATAAAAATACCAACACTGATATCTAAATCACCAGGGGTGGTGCTAGTTTTTGCGAGGCCCTAAGCAAAATATACCGTCAAGCCCTTTTATAAGAATGGCGTCTAGGTATTCCTATAATAATATCTTCAAAATCGATCCCCGAGGTCCTCATAAAAGCGCGAGGCCCCGGGCAAGGGCCCTGCTCGCTCCCCGTTGCGCCGGCCCTGTAAATCACCTTCTATCAGCTTTTGTACATTTTCAGGCATCAAAAACCCAAAAAATTCATATTATTGCACATTGTATCAAAAACTTTATTATAACTATGTTTATCAAACGTTTCCAAATAAGAATCAGTAGTTTTTTCACCAGCCATTTTCTTAATTCGCCGATTTCTCACTATTGAAAAGTCAACATGATCCAAACCCATTTTTTCCCAATTTGTTTTTACTTTTGCCATGAAATTATTGTAAGATTTTTCATTTCTAGGATTTTTTAATTTTGTTAATGCTGTCGAAATACAATTTTGAGCCATTATGAAATCAATTTATTTTTTTTTTTTTGTAGTTGTAGTTGCACAGGATTGATATATCAAAAAAAAATTATTTAAATTATCTAAATTATTAATTTCTTTGATATATCAAGCATTGAATACCATCATAACAAATTAAAAAAAAATAATTATTTGATGATAGTAATGTTTGAGCAGCCATAATATCATCTCCAGATGCTCCAACTCTTGATATTTCATTTTCTAGGCAGTCTACAATGCACTCAAAATTTTGAATTAAGGCTTTCACAGTTTTTAAACGTGCCGTCCAACGAGTTTTACTCAAACTTTTAAACATTTATGATGAGAAATGAATTTAATGTTAGTCAAGTAAACTCCAGAATATTCATAATTTTGTAAATTTTCTCGGTGACCGCGCCTAAACCAGACAACTTTTTTACAGTATCGAAAAGAATATTCAAAATCGTTATCCATTTCTGTTCTATTTAAATTTTTTTGATAAAATTAAAATTAGTGAACTGAAGACTAGGTCTGGGGCTCGGGGGTCTTTACTAGTAGGGGCCCAGGCGGCAAATTTCCATTATTTTCCCGTTAAATCCGCCACTGTTAACATGCAATTTATTTGAAAATAATGTTAATATACAATAATATTATAAGTGTATATGTGTGTTAAACTTGTTAAAATGTGTGTATTTAATTATTTATTTTTTGTATTGTTCGCAATTATAAATAAATAAATAGAAGACAAAAGCAACTCGTATTAACAAAAAGTATATTTTTCTTGATGTATATAAACTCCAATTTTTTCAAATGCTCTCCAGTAAAATAGTAAATATCCAGTTATATAACTATTTTTAGCTCAATTTACATTAGATTATATGTACGTAATATTTTAATCTGTAAGACTAGTTGAAATGTGAATTCCTTAAAGTTCGTTCACACGATCCCGAATCGGCGGTTTTGCCGTATCGTTGATTTTACCGTATAAGCCAGTGTCAATGTAATTTAAATGCATATATTCAGATAATACGGCATTGTACTGTATTCGGTAAAATTACCGATTAGGTCGATTTTGTCATTCGGTTTTGTGTCTGCAAATCGTTTTCGGTCGTACGGTAAAAAAACTGATTCGGCTTATCGTGGCAATGTATTTATAGACACTGCGTTCAGACGACTCGATATTTTGACCGATAGTGCGACATTTTTTGTCTGTGCTACTGTCGAATAATTAGGTATCGAGATTCGAAAATAATTAAAAAATTTTGTTTCGTCCTGTCGTAATTGACACATTAGCGTATTAAAAGAGCCTAAAAATGTCTTTGTCTCATAATAGGATGTACCCAGAATCTTCGATTTGAAATCCGTTGCGGTTGACGATACTTACGATACCAATATATAAATGTATTCAAGTTCATCTTCACGCGTCTTAATGCGAATACGATATAAATGCAACTAAAACTCGATTACGGTGTACGGTTAAATTATCGTACGGTCTGAACACTCTAACCGAAAGACACCGAATCGAGAAAATAGCCGATACGGTAAAAATATCAAATCGTGTGAACGGGTTATGACACAATGTATTTATGAGATTATATACCTAATACCAGGTTCACACTATTGCAATTTTTTATATGTTTTTTCTCGCATGCTTATTTTTACTCGTGCAAGAACAAAATTGAATAATAAATAAATAAATAATAATAATTAAATGTAAACGTTGATAATACGCATCTTGCATGCTCAAAATTACATGCAGTCCAACATGTCGAACAGAATTTGAATAAAATTAGGTAATTGTATACTAGTTTATTCCCGAACACGAATAGTGAAGCACGTGATCAATGTGATTGTGTTTTATGAATTTTGTTCACTTTTTTTAATAATTTAGTTTTTCTAAACACTGAAATGGCCTCCAAACCAAAGTATAATTTGAACAAAGAAAATGTATTGAAATTAATTACTTTGTATCGTCATCATGAAGTACTATGAAACGTAAGACTGGACTAATATAAAAATTTGTTTCTTTTTTAAGATTTCTTTACGAAGCATATCGCAAACAATAAAGTAAAAATAAAGTAACAATAAAGTAATCCTTTTTTTTTTTTTTTTATTGGATCCATTTAACAGTTAAAAAAACAGCACTTCTACTCGAGTAGAAACGATCGTGATCAGATTACTTTTGAAACTAAACAATATTTAAATACATACAAGACCAAAAATATACAAGCATATAATATATGTATTAAATACGTAAGTGCATGTTCACATATTATGTGAACATGCACTTACGTATTACTATGCGTATTCTTGCATGATATAGCATTGCAAGCATGTCTACAATGCAAGAAATGTGAACCCGGCATTAACGGATAATGATTTAGAAATACCGTGCGCTCGATACACTGCATAATATTTTTTCCATGACCAAACATTGACGAAGAATAAATATACTCCCACTCCAACCAGCGAATCGAATTTGAGGTTAAGTGTTGTGGCACCGTAGTTCTTGTATGTTTGTATGCGTTCTCTCATTTGCGATCGAATAACGTGATCCTTCACAATTCGTGTCTTTTGTAGAAGGTTGATCTAATAGTAGTTTTGCCTAAATATCTTTAGTTTTATATTGTTAGTTTTCTTTAGAAACCTATAACTTTAATTAAAAATGCCACCTAAATTCGATCCCAGTGAAATCAAAGAAGGTAAGATTATAATTATTATCGTCACCCCGGAACGGAAGAAAAAGAACACGTGTGAACATTTTTTTCTTCATAGTTTAATTTTCTAAATTTCGTTTAAATTTATTTGTTTACTTTTATATTAATTGTATTCGAGTATTATTGTTTTTTAAATACGTTTTGTTTGTACTGTTGTAAATGTATATCGAGGTTAAATTGTCTTCAATCATGCGGTTATTTTTTATTTTAATTTATCTAAATTATTCTTCTGTTCTGCAGTTTACATGAGATGTGTTGGTGGAGAAGTTGGTGCTACATCTTCTCTTGCTCCAAAAATCGGTCCATTGGGTTTGGTGAGTTTCATGTTAATTTTCATTTTCAACTGTACCTGATCGTTCAGAATTTTGTTAGCAAAGCACTTTACTTAATAAAATCAATTTACATTGGTCTTATTGTTAATGTTTTTAGTCGTTAAAATGTTTTTGTACTCTTACTTTAGTCTCCCAAGAAAGTCGGTGATGATATCGCTAAAGCCACATCTGATTGGAAAGGTTTGAAGATCACTGTCAAATTGACCATTCAAAATAGAGTAGCTACAATTTCTGTTGTACCTTCTGCTTCATCATTGGTGATTAAAGCTCTTAAAGAACCACCACGTGATAGGAAAAAGGTTAAAAATGGTATGTATTATGTATTGCATTTTTTTCTAGTGTTTAGTGATATTTTATTTTTAATCGACTATTGTTCCTCATGCTAATTTTAATAATTAACATGATTTTAACAAATTTGTCGTAAATTAAACTTTGTATGAGTTGCTTCACCCAGGACTACCAAGTGTTATTGTCAGGTTTTGCGGATTCAGACAAAATTATTTATCTTTTATACAATTGTGCTATTTTCGTCAATAGTATTTATTAATCATTTAATCTTATAGTTAAACACAATGGAAATGTTACTTTGGATGAAATTATCAATATCAGCAGAACTATGAGACCAAGATCTATGGCCAGAACATTGGCTGGAACCGTAAAAGAAATTTTAGGATCAGCTCAGGTATAAAGAGTTTGAAATGATTTATATTTATTTTTATTATTTCACATATTGCGGGTTATTTCTAGAGTGTTGGTTGTACTGTTGATGGAAAAAATCCTCATGATATCATTGAAGGTATTGATGATGGTACTGTAGCTGTTCCAGAAGAATAAATGTTGTGAGTATTTTTGCCTCTGAACTTAAATCCTATAAATTAGGATATGAGTTCAGTGGTTATATTTGGTCGGGGTTAGCATCCCATCCACCACCCTCAGCAGTTTATTTTGAACAATAAGATTAATAACAACTGAAATTTCTTGTTTTTTCTGTGTATACTTGATATGTTCAATAATATATCTTAAGTGCATATTCAAAAGTACTTAAATCATGTTTCGACTCTGTTAGGTTTGAAAAAATATGAAATTATTTTAAAATAACAATTTAAAATGTAAAGTATATATTAATTTGAATTAAGTAAAATTTGTAAAACATTATCAAATTTTAATTAAAATTCCGATTAAATAGTTATGATATTTGATTATGCACAAAATAGCTATCAATTTTCTCAATAGTTGTTATTATATTTTTTATTGTATTCATAAAATAAATTAATTTATTTTTTGAAACTTAACATAAACAGTTGAAATTATGAAAATATAATTAATAAACTGTTAATTATATTATAATCTCAATTTTTTGGATCTGATAATTATTTATATTGTGTAATTCACTTACTAACTGCTTTTGGGTGGCAAAAACGCTATTGAGGAGATAACCTCAATAAAATAATCACACTATCTATTATTAAATTTATAAATATTGAAATAATTTTCTGTTAAATTTTAAATTAAATTGTTAGCGTTGTTAATTAATTATGTTAAGTTTCAAAATTACTATTCACTATTATAACACTAATCTTATTTATTTTTTTCAGGAATTTGTTTGTTTTTTGATCAAATAAAGTATATTATTCTTCTTATTAACATGTGTTTTTTTATTTTTTTATGTTTTTATATATTTTATTTATACTATTTGATCTATATATCATGTGTTAATTGCTCAAATAGTTTAGGCTTACTACTTAAGAGCACGCCACACCCAAATTTGTGGTTTTTTTTTCTACATATGTCAACAGTAAATTGGTGTTCACTAGTTAAAATGTAGTAATGTTAGCTTTAATATTGGAGTAAAACTATTTTATAATCAATTTTTAAGTAAATAACATGTGTTTTGTTGGATGGTTTTATCTGATGTTTAATTTTTTTTAGTGAGTTATAAATGTAAAATATTGCAGTTAAAAAAATTAACTTAAAAATTTAAATATTGTAAAACCCAACCAAGTAACTTTATTACATTCAAACTATTAAATACAAATTTACCATGTTATATGTTTGTCAGCCGAAGAAAATACCATATGCGGGTGTGATGTCCTTTTAAAATTTCTAAATATACATTTAATCAGATATTAAGTTAAAATGATTTCACAGTTAAGCTTTCATCCTTATATATAAAATTGTTATAAGAAAGCATATGCAATTATACTTGCATAAGAAAATATGGAATATTCAATTTTCACTGTTAAATTTCAAATCATTGATAACAAATATTTTATATAATTAGTGTGTTCACTAGTTAAGGTTTTATTTTTGAATTTTTGTTCACCTAATAAACAAGTGTCCAGAACCCTATTGCTGTATTATATATTAATCAGCAATATATTAATATTTAATAATTAGGTTAAAATCAAAAAATATTGGACATCTTGATATCAGAATCTGAGCTTCAAGTGGTTTCAGTTTTGCTATTTGTGAGAAAATCCATTGACCAATGCAACTAGTAAACTACTACTACCACTAGAGAGCACTTTATGGCATACCATTAAAGAAAATTGAATTGATAATCTAAATGAAGATTTAATATTCTTGTTTCAAATCATTCTCAATTAATTAAAATTATTATATGCTTGCAGTATCTAAAATAAATTGCTCATTATCTTAAGATAGTGGTACAACTCATTGAAAAATGAAAGTAAATATTTTTTAATTTTATATTCCTAATATCCAATGAAATTAGCTGAATAAAATAAATTGTTACTGCAAATTTCTATCTAATTTAAAATCATAAGTATTCACTAGTAGTAATTCTAAAAATGTATTTGTTTTACGTACTTATATTCAGTAGGAACAAATAAAAGTTAAAACTAAGTATCGGTATGTATTTGGTGATAAACAAATGATTAATAAATTTCAATAAAATTTTTAATAATGGATATCTGTATTAGGAAAAAATAATTTTATCTGCAAAATTTATTAAATAAAAAATCCATTTAAAATTCTTTGAATACTTTAGATTATTTAAAACTATATATTATCTATGTTAACCATAAATTACAAATTAATAATTCCAATAATATAAATAATTGAAATTACAATAGTCCTGTGTTCAAACCAAGCATTAGTCAATTAGCTAATTTTTAAAATTTAAATAAAAGTAAATAAATTATAACATAACTATGTTTGTCCAGTGAAACATTTAGACATGAGAGCCAATATTTGCTTGCATCTTAACACAAAAATAACTATTAATAAATTGTAGTGTTTAAAAATAGATCTACTAGTTTTGGCGAACATATTAAATGACAAGATGGAATATTTCAATAAAAATAATCTCATTTAAATAAACCAGAGCTGTTCAATTTATTAACAAAAAAAATTATGTTAAATTCTATGTACAGAATAGACCTAAATATTAATTTATTCTGGAATATTTATCTCCCAACAATGGAGATGTTAGAAGAAAAAAACCATGATTAAGAAACATACAATATACCTTATAAATAAATTATTTATATATATATATATATATATATATATATATTATGTTTATGTAAAAAAAAACTTTATTTTCATTACACAAAATACATGAGCCAATAATAAAAGGCAAAAAAAAAAATGGTGGACCAATTACAATTGCTCATGGTAGAGTGTCATACAATATATCTTTTATAGCTGGAGAAAGAATTTCAGGAAATTTTATATCAAATGATACTAACAAATCTCCTCTTCTTGAAGGTTCTTTAGCAAATGGAAGACCATGACCTTGTAATCTTTTAACTGTTGTTGGTTTAATTACTTCTGATTTTAAATTGAGGGGTATTTTTTTATCTGTTAAAGTAGGAACTACTATTTCTGTACCACACAGTGCCTGTAAAATATAAAACATTTTTGTTAGTTAAGAAAAATTAAATTTGGTTAAAAAATGTATTACTTGTTTAAGAGATATTGAAACGCTATATTTAATATCATTTCCTTCACGTTTGAAAATTGGATGAGGTCTATCTCTTATTATAAAAACAATGTCTGCAGGTATTTTATTCATTCCTTGATCTCCTTCTTTTTGAAATGTTATTTTAGTACCAGCTTTCCAACCTGGTTTAACATTGATGGTTAATACTTTATCTTCCTTTCTCGATGTTCCATCTGCTTGAAGTACTCGCCTTGAAATTTTCATTTTTTTGGTACACCCTCTCATTATATCTTCTAATGACACATATAGATCATGTTCGATGGCTGGATCTTGAACTTTATCTTTACTTCGTCCCATTGGTGTTCCATGGACATTAAATGACTGTGACCTAAATGCACCCATTCCAGGTGGTCCATGTGACATTCTAATAAAACCATCATCGAAGTCCATTTCTTCATCAAACATTGAATTACTATTGCCAAATAAGTTACCAAATGGATTGGAAGAACCAAAGAATTGAGCAAATGTTGCTCTTGGATCGCCATGAAACGTATATGAATAGTTGTTACTGCTGTTTCCTTGGCCAGCACCTCCTTTGAGCCCATCTTCTCCATATTTATCATATATATCACGTTTTTTCTTATCACTTAATACTTCATATGCTTCTGCTACCTCTTTGAATTTTTCTTCAGCTCCAGGAGCTTTATTTTTATCTGGATGATATTTAAGTGCTAATTTTCGATAAGCTTTTTTAATTTCATCATCTGCACTTCCCTTGGATACACCAAGAATTTGATAATAGTCTTTTCCCATCATACACTGAAATTGAATAAATTATTTTAAAATACCATAAATATGTTTACTTAGTGATAATTCATGAATAAAAGATTAGAATAATTACAATTAATATAATCAATAGAGTACCTACATACAACTTGATAAAATTAATTTAAATAAAAACTGTGAAAACATTTGTTTCAGAAAAATGATTGCATTAAATCTGATTAATATTCAAAAATTAAGCTGTTTAGTGTATACCTATTATGTTTCAATATAAAATACAAATAAATAAAATTATATCCTTGAAAAATTATTGTGTGTATATGAAATGTTAAATGAAATGTAAAATCAAGCTTGAAAAATATCAACTGTACAACAAAATTTGAAAAATATTAGTAATTGTATCATTTAGTTTCACATTGATGCATTACTTAAGAATTCATACAAGAATTTCCATCTATGAAATAATGCATATTACCGGTATTAATTTTGAACTTTCTATGTATAAAGGGGTTAACGTTGAACTCTCGCGAAACAATACCATATAAGTACTTACCAACTATTGAATTGTAAATGAGACAAAAACAGAAGCAGGTCAAAATTAAGATAAAAGAAGGCGTACGGATTAGTATAGAATAATTAATGAAAAAATCGGTAATGATGAAAATGGAGATAAACGAAATAAAATGCAAATAATATGTAGTATAAGACGTCAAAGAAAACAAATTAAAAGAACCAATGTGGATCGTAAAATAAATATAATTACTTACCGTAAGAATAGATATTTGTTTACAACTCTATGTTATTAAATGTTTGTTCAAATACAATACTCTATTCTTAAAGCTATATAAGTTAATAAGTTGTTTGAACACTATCAATTTAGCGAATTATATATTTATTTACGGAATACAAATTTTACGGAAATATCAGTTCCGAGACGCACTTTCAATCCAAGTACGGCAAACACAAACGATTCAATGTTAAATTACTACACACGCGCAGCATATCAGAATCTGGAGTAGAACTTTCTAGAATCCGCCAGAAGACCGTGGAAGAAAACGCCGTTTATCATGGAAGAGTAAATTCAGTAGAGGTCTTTACATAGACATATTAATATCACTCAAATGTATGAATAATCATAACATAGACGAACACAGCCGCCGTTCATCGGAGTGATAATATAGTTCTTATAACCAATAAAGGCCAAAATATAATAGACCTATCAAGTATAAACAAAATTAAACAGGATTTGTGATTCCGTCCATAGAATAGTTCTATAATCCATACAACTTTATATTCTTTAGTTTGTGCGAATTATAAATCGTGATTATTCTACAATACCATAAATCAGAATTGATAACAGAATGCTATAATAAAGGTAAATTCATAACCTAATAGAATAAGGGTAGTAGGTAGCATATAAGCATATCATACATGCTAGATATCCATAGGAAATTAACGGCTCTTATTGGCTGTATTACGTTTGTGACAACATTATACAATGTTTTCAATTTTTTTTTATTTAATAATTAAAATAATTGTTTAAATTAATTTGATTATTTTTTTTTTTACATTCATTTAAAAAAATCATTTATGCAGTTTACAAAAATCCAATTTTGACTATTTTTTAGAGCATTTTTATACGATTTTTGTGCATTTAAATCTGGGCCTCAATGTTAAGAAACAAAAAAATTATTTGCTAAACAACATATAGTTAGATATATCATAAGCTAAATAATGATTTTATTATAATAATGTCTAATTACCTTCGAAAGAAAGGCGATGAGGATAGGCGTAACTAGGGGTACCTTGGGGGAGGGCTAATCTCCCCAACATGAATTTTGACCCCTCGTCATAATTCTTAGTCTTGCTAACGGTAGCTACATTTTTAATTTAAAATATCGTTTTATTTTTTTTATTAAATTTTTATTAATAACATTGTAACATTTAACAATGGGGATGTCCGCTTGTCCACATATTATACGCGTGTAAGTGACATAATATATTATAACTATATTTACTGATTTATAAGTTATATGAAGTTGTATTGATTATCGTGCAGTTGACCTTTTACCTATTCTCAAAAATGAACTATTTAGTAACCGTGAATCGTTTGTATAATGCAGGTTAATTCATTCAATGCGTACCTAACTACTTATTCGAATATGGAAAAGTTTAATGAAGATTTAAACAATTTTTTTTTAAAAAAAAAGGTTCAAATACTTCATTTCTTACCAAGTTAAAATTTGATCAATTAATTTTACATAAAAATTAATTAATTAACAATTAAAAAAAAAAAAGTAACCGAATGATTATAAAAACTATGACGTGTTAAAAGTTTCTAATGTTAATAAGATAATTGTACCAGTATATGAAAACAACAAAATTAAATATTATATACATTTATCGATTGGACATGGTGGACGAAACAGGATGGAACACGAGATAAATACAAAATATAAAAATATCATCAGAGATATAATTATGCTACATTTAAATAGTTGCGAATCATGTAAAAGAAAAGGAAGCTCAGCCAAGAAAGGATTGGTGGTGCAATAAATTATATCTACTGAGAAGAATTAATCAATAATATAAAGACATGTCATTATTAATTGATTTATCATATTTCATTAAATTATATCATCTGTTATCTATATTGCCAAATATACGAAAGGTATTTTATATACTGTCCGGACAATGTATAAAATGCCCAAATTGTATACTTTGCCCGTAACATATACATATATATATATATAAAACATATATATATATATATATGTGTTACCGGCAATATGGATAATTTAGGTATTTTGCAAAATGCCTAGGCATTATGCAAATTACCGACACATTTTAGGCAAAGTATATAAAACATGATTTTCAATATTATTTTATAAATTACCTAGGCATAATGCCAATTTTTTTTTAGTAAAGTACAAAACATTTTATTATGTTATATAACATATAACCCTTTAAAGGCTCATGACTCCTTTTGAGATCATGTTCTTTAATTTAATGTAGTGATGGGCAAAAAAAATCAATATTTCCGAAATATCGATATTTTAATAAATTTATATCGATATTTTGGATCGATATTTCTTTTTCTATACATTTCGATATTTATCGATATTTCAGCCCTACTGATACCGGTTTTTTTAAATTCAATAATTTCAGGTCCGTGTAAATAAAAATATATTACATATTTTGGTTTTCCTATTTCTAAACGGCAAATCAACAATGATAATTTGTGAATATTCTCTATGCTTTTATACATGTATTTATAGTTTATACCCTGGCGACCGTAAAAATATAGTTTATTCGTTAAATCATTATTATTTCTCTGTATTCCGTCCATGTCTACCGTGATTTTCTTGTGTCTTTAATGTAAAAATATGTCGGAAAATAATTTATACAAAAACGTTAAAACTAATTTTGACGTAATTGATTTGATGACATCAAGATGCAAAATTTGTTTTAAAAATGTTAAAACAAGTGGAAACACAACAAATTTAAAAAAACATTTGGAAAGAAACCATTCGGGATTAAATATTTTTAGGTAAATATTACATAAATGAAGTAAATTAGTGTAATATACTAGAAAAGGTAAAATTATATTCAATTTATATTTTAGTTCAATTCCAACGACATCCACGTTAGTTCCTATTGACCGTGTTTTTATACCAGATTCTATAAATAATATGGAAACTCATAAAGAACTCGAAGAACAATTAGAGGATGACCCTTCAATATTTTCTGGTTCTAAGACTACTTTGGAATTGTAAGTTCATTAAATTAAAATTAACTCATATTAGATTATTACCTAAATATTTATATTTTAGTGGATGCGCAGTATCATCAACACCAACAACATCAGTAACACCAAATAAGAAAAGACTAATCCAGATGCCAATAAACGAAACATTTCGTTCAATTGAATCTTTTTCAGGTACCTATTAAATATAAATAATATTAAAATATACACTAAAAAATATTAGTATAAAATAGTAATTATTAGGAAGGTACCTTTACAAAGTTAAATTCTATAAATAATTATCAAACTAAAAAATAACAAATTCTTAGTAAATTTGCAATTTTTTTGTATGAATATTACCAGTTGTTTAAGATGAGAAATTAGCTTAAGTAAAAAAATATAAGTTTTTAATGTATTTTTTTTTTTCTTGTTGTAATATATTTTTATATATATTTAGTAAAATTATTGATATTTTAAATATTATATTGCTATTTTATTCTTTATACAAAGTTAAAGAACCAAATTTAAGTAACATAAAATAATTATGTGTTTTATAAATTAATTTCAGAAGGAGGTACTAAGTATTCAAAAATGTCTAATGCACTAGTTTTCATGATTGCCAAAGATGGTCTACCTCTTAATATAACAGAAAAAGAAGGTTTTTAAGCTTACTCAAAAGTTGCTACTCCATTATTCAAGTTACCTAGCAGAAGAAGTATAACTAGGATGTTAGATGATAAGTATGATATGATTACTGAGGTATACCGAAATCTTATAGATTCTGTTCAAAATATTACATTAACAACAGACGCCTGGACTGATATCTTAAATAGTAAAAGCTACTTAGGAGTTACTATGCATTTTATACAAAACTTGCAATTAGTTTCTGTAGTATTGGATGTACATCCGCTATCTGAGCGACACACAGCTGACTATTTAAGAGAAACCATAACCAAAATTCAAAAATCTTGGAATATTTCCAATTCTAAAGTTGTATGTATTGTTACGGATGGTGGTGCAAACATAGTAAAAGCAAGTAATGATCTTTTTGGAGAAATACGACACTTACATTGTTTTGCACATAAGCTTAATCTCATTCCTCAAAGGGCAATCTCAAATGTTCCAAAATTAGTTTTATTGATTAAAAAAGTAAAACAAATTACAAAAAATAATTAATTACATATTAAATAATTAATTACAAAAAATTGTTTTAAGTGTAGGAATACAATTTAATATGTAGCTATCTGTCACAAAAATGTTGCACATGAACGTGATTTATAAATACTCAATAAATCGAAAACCATGTAGTTATCTGAGATGGTTAATTGGAAAACGTCCGATATGCGTACTTATCTACAGGCTACATTCGTATCGCTCGACAAATGATGAAAATAATCTAATTTATTGTGTGATCGATAAACTGTACTGGTACACCGCAATTATTATTAGTTCGTTATTTGTCGTCGTTAATTCGAGTTCAAGTTCGATTCATAGTGTGCCTGTGCGTTTGTTTTTATTTTCACAAAATTTGTTAGGTATAACAATGCCAAAGGAAAAACAATCGGTGTGTGGTCGTTTAAGAAGTTACGTTATAGAATTTGGTCCTGATACTTTTTCCATAGTCGGGAATAATTTATTTTGTAAAATATGTGAAATTCGAAAAAGTTCAGAGAAAAAATTTAATGTTAGCCAACATATTAGTACCGATAAACACCAAAAAGCTCTCAAAAGACACGAAGATCAAGAACAGAAAAAAAAACAAACGCTTTTGACCAGTTTTCCGACAAAATCAACATTTAATACTGATTTATGCGAAGCTTTAATGGCGGCAATTATTCCTTTAAATAAACTTAATAATAGTAAATTTCGAGAATTTTTAGAAAAATATACAGGTAAAAATATACCATTTGAATCCACTCTTCGTAAGGGATACGTTGATGATGTGTATAATAAAACTATTGAGAATATTAAAACTGAGATAGGTGAAAATAAAATTTGGGTCTCTATTGATGAGACGTGCGATGTCGAAGGACGTTACATAGCAAACGTCGTTGTAGGTGTTCTCAAGACTGATAGTATTGGCAATATATTTTTACTACACTCGGAACAGCTGGATAGAACTAATCATACAACAATTTGCAAACTATTTGAAAAGGCAATGGGAATCTTATGGCCTGGAAGTATCAATTACGACAATATTCTATTATTTTTAACAGACGCCGCACCATACATGGTAAAGGCCGGATTTGTTTTAAAAAGTTTTTATACCAAAATGGTTCATGCTACATGTGTTGCCCACGGGATTCATCGTGTAGCAGAGGAAATTCGAGGACAATTTAATGAGGTAGATAACTTAATATCAAATGTAAAAAAAATGTTTAGAAAAGCCCCTTCTAGAATTCAATTATTTAAAACTGAAGCACCTGAAATTAAATTACCACCAGAACCTATAATAACTCGTTGGGGAACATGGTTGGATGCCGCAATATACTATTGCGAACATTATGAAACGATTGTTCGCATTTTAAATTTATTAGACGAAAATGACGCCGTTAGTATTAATAAGGCAAAATTATGTATATCACAACCGAACTTACAAAGCAACTTGGCTTATATCAAATCCAATTTTGAAGTATTAACTGTAGCTATTAAACAACTACAAACACAATATGTTCCATTAACAGATTCGCTAAAAGTTATAGAGGATATTGAATCGAAATTATGTAATTTACATGGACCATATGGAATTGCCGTTTTGAAAAAACTTGATAATGTATTAATTAAAAACCAGGGTTTAAATAGTTTAAAACAAATATCTAAAATTATCACCGGAGGAGAGTCCATGAACCTTAGTTCAATAGCAGAAGATCTAACATATAATGATCTAGTATTTTTCAAGTATGCTCCCATTACTTCCGTCGACGTGGAACGTTCATTTTCGGCATACAAGTGTATTTTAGCCGATAATAGAAGAGCCTTCCAGTTCGAAAACGTTCGAAAACACCTTATAGTCCAATGCAATCACAAAGGTAAACATTTTATAAACAACAACAAATTTTTAGTAAATTTTTAACTATAATAAATTTATATAAATGTGTATTTTTTTCAGAACATTCAAAACCAAATTTTTAAAGATTTTATTTTTAATGTTTTTAAATTTATTAATTTATAATTATACTTGAATTACAATTTTTTTATACTTATATGAAATAAATCCTTTTTTTAATGACTTTTTAAATGCTATTTTTTTCTTTTTTAGAGCATATTTTTAAGTTTATTGGGTCATATATAAGCGCATATTTTAGTGCTTTTTAGTGCTATAAGTCCCGAACCCTGATCATCATCAACCTATTGCAATATGTCTCCAAGAAACAAATCTAAAATTCAATAAAACCTCACCAAGTATAAATAACTACCATCATGCTATGAAAAATCGTAGAGGCTACCTAAGAGCAAGTGGCGGCTTTTTCACCCTCATTAACAGTTCCTATCCCTAGGAGGAAATTCTCATAAGGTCAAACTTGGTAGTCGCTGTGTCAATAACTCTCGAAACTAAAACCACTCTCTGCAACATTTACATCCCAAATCAATTCAACTTCACACTCATAGATTTAAAAAATATTATAAAACAACTACCACGTCCTTTCATTATTGTCGGAAACTTTAACAGTAATAGTTAATAGTCTTTACATGAGGTTCATATAAAACTGATCCAAAAGAAAAAATCAGAAAAATTATTAGAACAAGACAATATCGTAATACTAAATACAGGGTGGGGCGTAGTTACTTCCTTATTTTAAAAAATCATAACACAAAAAATATTGGCAATATTGATTTAATTATTTTTTCTGACTATAGAAGTACATTTAAAGTTTTATTTTATTTGGTTTTAAAAACGACATCTCGAAGGTGGCCACCGTTCTCATCAATGCATTGAGATAGTCGGAATTTTAAATTGTTGTCCACTTTTTCCAGCATATCTGTGCTTATGTCGGCGATAGCAGCACGAATATTGTTTTTGAGATGACGAAGGGTCTTTGGACGATCAGTGTATATCAACGATTTAAAGTAGCCCCACAGGAAAAAATCACATGGGGCTAAATCTGGCGATCGTGCTGGCCACTGAAGATCACCTCTAAGAGAGATGAGCCGTTCGGGGAAGTGTTCACGCAAAACGTTCATCGATCTTCTTGCCGTGTGAGTTGTGGCGCCATCCTGTTGAAACCATACTTCCCTACATTCATTTCTTCAAGTTTGAGTAGAAAAAAATCCACAATCATGCTGACATAACGTTCAGAATTGACTGTAACTGCTCTTTCGTTCTCTTCAAAGAACCATGGGTCAATAATGCCGATTCTGGATATGGCACACCAAACAGTCACACGTTCTGTACGCAGAGGCTGCTCATGAAGTTCTTTCGAGTTAGTGGGGCTCCAATATCGCATGTTTTGTTTGTTCACACATCCTGAAATATGGAAGTGTGCCTCGTCACTAAAGAAAACAAGGGCGTCCTGAGGCAGGTTTTCGAGGAAGGCTTCACATGCATTTTTTCGCGCAACATAATCGCGTGGATTAAGTTGTTGCACCACTGCTAATATGTATGAGTGAAAATTAAGTTCCTCATGAAGAATTCGTCTCACTGTGCGACTAGAAATCCCTAAAGCAGCCGAATGTTTGTGTGCAGATCGTCTAGGGGATTTAAAAATCGCCGCTCTTACCCTTTCGATGTTTTCTGTCGTCCTGACGGTTCTGGAAGGTCCATTATGTTTCTTCTGCACACTACCGGTATCCCTGAACGTGTCCACCCACAAACAAATCGATTTCCGATCAGGCACACGACCTGCAGGTGCGATATTGAAATGGTTTCTGAAAGCACGCTGAATTGTAATGATCGAACGGCTGAAAGAAAATTAGGCCTCCACGGCGAACGCGCGTTCTTGCTTTGTCCACTGCATTGTTGACACTGAACTAGTCATAACAAAAACCTTAGATAACGTGCTTTCGAACACGCCATAAACCAACGCTCTACTATTAATAGCCGTTCAGTTGCGAGAGTTTCAGATAAGGAAGTAACCACGCCGAGGTGTATAAAGAGTAGTTTCTTGAATTACTTAATCATCTTGAAGAGCCCTCTATTATTATTATGGATAACGCTTCATATCATTCTAACATAGCAGAAAATTATCCTAATGCTCGCCGAGGCGAAGCGCGGCAGCGCGAGCACGAGAGTGTAGTCGGTTCACTTGTGTCGTCTCGTCTCATCTCGCTTCGTGCGCACTCCACTTCGAGTTGGTATTTTGGTCGCGAGTCAAAAGACCACGAGACACGAGGCGAGGCATACCTACTCTACTTTCACCTGAGCTCGCGAGTCCTCAGTTAAGGAAACAAAAGATATCAAAACATTTTATACAAAAAATGTTATGAGAAAATAAAGAGTAGTACAAAGTATAATTATTCTCTCCATCATTTTTCTTATTACGCCATTAAGGTCATTACTTAATATCAAACGAACCTACTTTGTACTGTTTCTGTGTATTGTTGTTGTCCACCATCTCCTCTTATTGGGTTGTTTAATTTTTTTTTTGAGTGGCTTAAATTTATAAAATTATAATAATTGTATGTACACAATGCAGCTGCAGCTGTTATTTCAACCACGTCCATTTTGTACAACAGCTAGAAACAATTGAGCGAGTCACGAGACTAAAAGTGAGTGACGACTGTGCATTCGTGCACTGCCTCGCCTCACATTAATTCGACAAGACTTTCGACGAGGCGACCTCGCGAGAGTGTGAAGCTAGCATAAGAGTAATTCTAGAAAATCGGATGTACAAAAATGGCTTATAGATAAAAATATTCCCTACAGTAATCTAGAAACATTGGCCGAACTCAAAATGAAGGTGAAAAATCGTATCTCCTTGATAAGTTGGCATTAGAAAGAGGTCGAGGTGATACGACTTCCTCCATATCACTGCCAGTATAACGTTAGGCCCACCACTAGCTCGCTTGGGAAGCTAGAATAATGGTAGGGGCCAAAAACCCCGGGTTGACCCACCGACGTCAACCAAAAACCTAATCGATACCATGAGAGGGGGAGCCCCACCGCACGCCGGACCGGCCTAGCCGCTCCGGACCCGGTGCCCCCAAGGTTGAGGAGCCTACCTCGGCTGAAACGTGGTGGCAG